TGAAGGACAGACGTCCTCTCTCACCGGCGGGACCAGCGGTAACAGAACTGGTGGTGGCCGAAGCAGTTGAGCCCCAGGATGCGGTGACCTCCTGACCTTTTCAGGATAAAGCCCTCCCTAGAACAGACAGACAGAGTGACCAGCGGGCCGGCAGCAGACTAAAAGACCGGTCTGGCGACCCAGCGGGCCAGCCTTGGTGCTGCTGGGACTGGATCCGGGTTTCCACGCGAGCAGCAGGTGCAGTGGCCCGGGTGTGCTGCCGGTGCAGCTGGCGCGAGCTCTTCACTCCTGAGCACTCCCGTTCCCCAGCCTCCCCCGGAGTCGCTCTCCTCCCTCCTTACCGGCAGCGCTGCTGGGTGCAAACCCTGAAATGTTTCGTTCAGCGCCCTCACCCCTGCGGACCGGCCGCCTTCTACGCCGCGGGAGACCGGAGCCCACCCCAGCAAGCAACAGGCACGAGCAGGGCACGCTCTGCACGGGGCGCCTCTGCAGTCTCTCTTCCGAAACGAACACCAAGGAGGAGAAAAACAGGCCTCAAACCACACTCTCGCGTAGGCACCTCTTCCGAGCAAACTGAACTTTCGGGAGTCCTGGTTCCTGGTTTTCAGCAGGGTGAAATCGGGTTGGTAGTGTTTCAGCGCTCTGGACGCCGAGGACAGAGAACAGCTTGAGAGGAGACGCTTCACGTTCCAATTCACCGCTTGCCTCTCCGACCAAACCCTCACCCTGCCACAGGGGCGGCGCCGTTGTGCTCCAAGCCGAGAATGTCATGGCCAGCTCTGAACGTACCCGCTGCTCAGCTGTGGTCACTGGGGTCTAGTGCCACAGCACAGGGCGGACTGGGTGAGCAATGTCCAAACTACAGGAATGAGCACTTCCTGTTTCGGTGAGCACTTCCTCTTTCGATGAGAGCCCAGGACTGCCATTCAGCCTACATCTGACTATCGGTCTGGAATGATCACTGTGGATTCCTGCCCTAAGAGCACACAATGACAGACAGACGGGAGGAGGGAATGGGAGAAGGGAAAGGAGGACAGACAGGAGACAGGCAGCAGAGGGAACGAGAGAAGGGAGAGGAGGACAGACAGGAGACAGGCAGCAGAGGGAACGAGAGAAGGGAGA